AACCTGTATGCTGAGCAAATAATCTGAGAAGCTGGGTTCTATGAAGAAAAACGTGGCATCAGGATTGGAGGAAGACTCATTAACAACCTGCCATATGCAGATGATACAACCTTGCTTACTGAAAGCAAAGAGGACTTAAAATACTGAAGTATGGATTGCATCTCAATATAAAGAAAACAAAATTCCTCACCACTGGACCAATAAACAACATTCTAATGAATGGAGAAAAGATTGAAGGTGTCAAAGACTTCATTCTGCGCAACACTCATGAAAGCAAGCCGAGAAATCGAACGACGTATTGCATTAGGCAAATCTGCTGCATAAGACCTTTTTAAAGCGTTCAAGAGCAAGTTTGAGGATTACGGTGCGCCTGACCTTTGGGTCAGTGAATAAGGATGACCATAGAAGATTGATGCCTTTGAGTTGTGGTATTGGAGGAGAATATTAAAAGTACCATGGACTGCCCATAGAACCAACAGAGCTGTACTGTTGAAAGAAGTACAGCCAGGATGGACAGCCTTCGTCTCTCCCTCTTCAGCCATAGTGTCAGGAGGGACCGGTCCCTGGAGAAGGACATCATGCTTGGTAAGGTGGAGGGTCGGAGAGATCGAGGAAGTTCAAGGAGATGGATTGGTACAGTGGCGGCAGCGATGGGCTCAGGCCTGACGATCCTGAGGGGGTTTTGTTGTTGTCTGTTCACTTAGCAACAACCTGCAAACCCTGTACAAAAAGAAATTCCAAATAGAATATAGATCTAAAACCCCAAACAGGCAAAACTGAAAGATCTTTTGGAAAATAACACAGGAGAATATCTTCACAAAATGTAAGAGGAAGCTTTGCTGTTTTCACTTGGTCCCCGGCTTGGGCTCCGGGGTGTTGGTGATACTGCATGGTGCTGGAAGGCAAGGCTCAGGTGGCAGGTGTGAGGAGGGGGACAGCTCAAGGCCCCTCACAAGGTGGGCCTCTGGGAGATATGTTCTCCCAGCTTCTTGGGGGCCGGCCAGCCTGCAGAGGTTGATCCGGTGGCCATTCATCCTGATAATTTCCACATCCTCATGGAGGATATGGTTCTCCAGAAAGCCACAGAGGTGGGGGTCTGTGTGGGTAGCACCCCTGGTGTACAGATCCAGAAGCTTCGCTCCAGGGCCAGGGCAGCCTCCACGGCATCCAGGGCTTTCTTCTCCACTCACTACTCACCTTGGGATGGCTTCTGCATGGCCTGGAAGAAGAGCGCGGTTGCCACGCGGGTTCGTGCAGTTTCATAGCACTTTTCCGTCAACAATTCAAGGAGTAAGTGTCCCGGGCCTTCCGAGGCCACATCCCGAGAGAGGTCAGTGTAAGAGGCCCGCGGAGGCGCCGGCCTCCAGTTCAGCACAATAATTCTGATGGATTGGAGAGCTCACGGCTGGTGGAAGATTTAACACATGGCGATTAGGGGGTCCCGGACATAGGAGAGGGCTACGGGGATGGTCCCAGAAAAGAGGATACACCTAAAGAGGAGGTTCGATGTGCTCTGAGGCTGGAAGTGGGGAGACCCCGGATCTGTTCCGTCCAAACCCTTTTGAAGCAAGACAAAATTGCACAGGATCACAGGGCGAGCTTCAACCTCAGAAAGATTTTTAAAACTAGGATCTGATACACATCAGGCATAAAGGAAAAGACTGATAAATTGACTATATTAAATTTTCAACTGCTCATCAGAAGACCCCATTAAAAACAGATCAGACAAAGAGTGAAAATGGAAGCCACAAAGCATTGCTATCTACAAGTCTCTAAAAATGGATCAGAGACAGATGCTGCAACAGAAAAGCTGGTTACAAACACAGGAAATCGGGAGAGATGAATGGAAACTAGTGGGCAGCAGCCCTCTAGAGCCAAGATCCTAAGAACTTTGACAGTAAGTGCCGGAGATGCAGACTCGCCGAGGTTCGCACACACTACAGGTGGGACTGTTAACTGGTGGTAGTGTTAGGTGCCAGTGAGTTGGTGCCGACTGGTAACAATCCGGTGCACAACAGAACAACCACGGCCCGGTTCTGTGCCAGCCTCACAGTACTTAAGTTTGAGCCCACTTTGCTGCCACTGTGCCAATCCATTTCACTCAGGGGTCGTCGTCTTTTTGCTGACGCTTCCCTCCCTTTACCAAGCATGATGTCCTGGGACTGGGCCTTCCTGACAACACGTCCAAAGGATGTGACACTAACTTTCTCCATCTTCTCAGCATTCTGGCTGTACTTATCTGTTTGTTCATAGGTATAACTATTTTATAAAAGTTTGGGATTATCTGGAAAAATGATTTAAGAATATGGTCACGGAGTGAAAGGATACACAAAAATAATGAGAAAGAACCCCCCAAACCTTAACACCATGGACCGCTGAACAGCTGCTGTGTGGGGAGTTCAGAGGTTGCAAGCTTCTCTTTCAGATGCATGTGATGCTAACCTTCTCTGAGTGAGCAGTTGGGCGTTTCAAGTGGACGTGCATAACACTTGGGAAACAGTATGTGCCTAAGTGGGTTCATGTAGCTCAAATCCATGCTGCTCACCATCTACCGGATCAAAGACCCAAGTGGAGTCTTAGGATTAAAAATAATTCTGAAAAGAAAAATGACCTGAACAGGCTAAGGAGCAGTTAAGACACGAAAATGTCATATCAGGGTAATAGAGGCAGGGCCACCCAAACGCTGAGAGAACAAAGGAAGGTCTCAGTGACCTGTGGAACCTGGTAGTGGTCTAAGGTCACAGGAATTGGAGCCCTGGTAGGGTAGTGGGTTACGAGTTGGGCTGTTCACCGCAAAGTCAGCAGTTCGAATCCACCACTCCGTGGGAGAAAGTTAAGGCTTTCGGCTATCGTAAAGATTTACAGCCTAGGAAACCCTATCCAAGGTTGCTGTAAATTGGAACCAACTAGATGGCACACAACCGCCACCACCAAGGTGTCACTGGAGCCCAGAAGTAGCAACGAAAGAGAGAGCTGCATTAGAAAAGGCATTTGAAGAAAAACGTTTACCTGGGTTAACATTCACATCTCTTTCAATACACTCTAGAAAAGGTCTGATGAGGAAAGAAATCCTCTCTCCTCCAAACAAACATATTTGGGCGATGCGTTTCCCTGGTAAACTACAAAAGCAAGTGCTGCTAGACAGGCCATAACTAACCAGAGGTCCCTGAGAAAGCCACCCTGAAGCGAGGGGTTCCTTCTCTGGGGAGTGACCCTGGCGCCCATTTCGGATACACTCCCCAGAGTAAAATTCAGCCAGCCCAGAGCATTTTATTCAGCTCACTTTTCCTATTTCAGTGAAACACTGTTTTTTAAAAAGTCACCTTCTTTTACCAATGTAACCAAGTATTCAATAATACATTATGATTCAAGAGACCAAGTGTCCGAACAAAAAATCTTGTGGCATGTTCTATTACATAATACAATTTCTAGAACTCCACGAGAAGCAACAAGGAGAGGCAGGACTTGTGTAGACATTTTTACTGAGCCATGCCAACAACACCTGCCTACTCAGATTCCCACAGATAGAAACATCCTTCTTTAGTCTTGAGCTCATCTGCTCCCACTCACCTGTGTGGTACTTGCTTGCTTTTAAAGAGAATTCAACAAGAAACCCAGTTCTGATTTGTAAAGAGCCACTCAGCAGGTTCACTTCCCAGGACAACATACTAGTTCATGAAATACGGATTGCCTGTTACACCCAGAACATCTTCTCTAGCTCTCTCAGCAGGGAGAGACACTGCACCTTGCTTGCTTCATAGGGAAACAGTGGATGAATCATTGGTCCCTTCTTCTTCAATGTGTCAGCGTTTGGTGTCAAACTGAGCTAAGGCCTTGGATCAGTCTCTCTCTTCAGGATGCTTTAGAAATGGAGCTTTGGGCCCTGAATACATTTCCAAACCATGAAGGAATGACAGACTGAAAGGGACGCGCCTCCCATCACGTGGCGGCATTGCAGGTCTAGCAGCCGCTGGGGCCGGTGCTGCGGGCTGGGAAGAGCGCCATGGTCTTCTTGAGTTCTTGGTAGCTCCAGTGTAGCTGCTCCACCTCGGCTCGGTGCAGCGCCCGCGTGTGGCCCAGCTCCTGCAGCAGGTGCTCGTTGGTGCTGACCAGGGAGCTGGGGACAGGGAAGAGCTGCTCAGCACCTCCGCACCCAGCCCAGGCTGGGTTTGTCTCGGGCCCGTGGGCACAAAGCCATTCTTGATGGTCACCCCTCTCTGCTTGCCGGTGGGTCAGTATCTTCCAGTCCCCGCTGTGTGCATGGGGAGCACCACATCTGACTGCCAGCAAGACCGCACTCACTCGGAAGTCCCCACACTGAGGCCCCACAGTGAGAGCAGTGAGAGCAGACCCTGACTACACCTTTCTGCCCCCCCCCCCCACCAAGCCCACAGCTCTCGGGACAGTGTCCCACCATCCTGCATGCTGGGACTGGGGACAAGGCAGGTGGTCCACCAGTTCCTCGGGGCAACTCGGCCTCTGACAGTATCCTCACACAGCACACCTCCCTCTCTCTGCCACCTGGGAGAGCCACCTACACTCTAACCACGCCAGAAAGAACTTTAAAGACAGGATCCGAGACATATCAGACATAAAAAGACTGATAAATTGACTATATTAAAATTTCAACTTCTCACCAGAAGACTCCATGAAAAGCAGGTCAGACGCAGAGTGAAAATGTAAGGCCCAAAGCACTGCTGGCTACAAGTCTCAGTCCTGCCTAGACAGACCAGAGACACCAGGGCCAATAGGAAAACTGCTTACAAACACAGGGAAGGTAGCCCCTCCCTTGGCAAGCAGGAGAGTTGGACGGAAATCTCCTGGGTAGTTCAGCCCCTAGGAAGGAGGGGAGGGGTGCAGAGAGAGGGGGAGACTGTGGAAAATGGGGAGAGAAGGGAAAGGCAGGTGGGGGCGGGGAGGAGTGGGTACAAACGAAAAGGGTGGATGGGGTGGGGGCAAGTGCTGGTCACAAGCCACCTCAAGGCTGCACCTGGGCACAGGCTCCCCCTGGCAGCCCCACAACTGGAGGCGCTGTCAGGCCTGTGAGCCCGCAGCCCTTTCCCTGCAGTCTTGGAAACAAAACAGGCTCTGTTCTGACCAGTCCCCTGTTCCCAGCTTAAGGGCACCTGTGCCTGCACCCCTGGAGGAATATGGGGTCTCTGTGAACTACCCTGGGGGAAGTGTAGACAGCCACCAAGATCCCACACCAACGCTTGGGAGCCTCTCACCGGGAGCCTCTCACCAGTACTGTCTCGTCTCCCCTGACCGTAGCTCGAAAGTCACCCCACAGGTCACACTAGGGCTCACTCCCAGTCACACCCAGAAGGTCACACCTCATAAGATATACCCAACAGGTCACACCCCACAGGATATACCCAATAAGTCACACTCTACAGGTCACACCATAGATCACACCCCTCAGGATATACCCAACAGGTCACACCCCACAGGCCACACCACAGATCACACCCCACAGGATATACCCAATAGGTCACACTCTACAGGTCACACCATAGATCACACCCCTCAGGATATACCCAACAGGTCACACCCCAGATCACACCCACAGTCACATCTGACAAGTCACACCACAGATCATGTCACTGATCACCACCCAGATCACACCCCATGGGTCACACCTGGCAGTTAATACCCCCACAGGCCACACCCACAGATCGCCCCTTCGGGTCATGCCTGACAGGTCACACCTCCGAGAATGCTGACCCAGAAGACACTGGCTCCTCACTGAGAGAGAAGCTCCCGGAAGTTGACGGCCACTCAGTGAGCACCCTGTACCTGTGGCTCTCCTGCAGCATCTGAGTGAGTTCCTGGATCTTGTCATAGTGTTCCAGGTGCTGCTTCAGCTCCACAATCTCACCAGACAGCCTCTTCACACTTGTCTGAAGTCCTGAAGGAAAAAGGTGGCAAGATGCAGTGGAGAGCCAACTCTCTGAAAATCAGAACCATTCTAGAGTCTACACTGGGTCTGGGTCAGGAGTCTGAAGAGGTTCCAAAAACAGGATGAACGCAGAGCTCCAGGCCCCAAGTGTCCATCACGTCAACCTGAACACAAGGCCACATTTATGCCCACTGCCATTGTTGCCCCTTAGGAACCTGGGAACCACGGGGCCTTTACTGCTTGTGGGGAGGGGGGCTTTGGGGCAACTCTCGGGTCAGGCTCTGGAGAATCCCCCAGAGGTCCACATGGCCACAGCCCCAGTTTCCACTGTCCTCAGGCCTCTGTCTCTCCCACGAGGGAAGATATCCAACCCAGGCTACTGCAAACACAGCAGTGACACACCCTATACAGCCACACCTGCAGGGACAGCGATGTCACTGTGACACTGTCAGCATGGTGGGGAGTGAGCACTGAGGTCATACTTCAGTGTTCCCCCAAGGATGCGTGCTTTCAGAAACTCCCAGAATCCCCAGGTTCTAGGATGCCCAGAGTAGCATGAAGCTGAAGGCCACAGTTTTGGTGAGCCTGGTGACAAGGTCTCCTCATAATCCCCCGATCCAAGAAGCCAGATGAGTCCCAAAGCACCACGAGCAGGCATGAGCCCACATGGGGTGGGGAGGGTTGTCTGACAAGAGTCACTGTCATGGGGGGACTGTCAGGCTACAGTCACAGTGAGGGGGCATGTGACAAAGTTGTGGTTGTGGTGAGGGGAACATTTGATAGAGCCACTGACGGATGCCCTAAAGGCCCTTGGGGTCCCAGAAGAGACTGGTGCTGACGTGTGAGTGGTGAGTCCGTGAGTTGTGAACTGTCTTGGAGGGGCTGGGGTGACAGGCAGCCCACCCTGCAGAGACATGCTGGGTGAGGGGCAGGGACCCTCAGGGGAGACACACTATCATGGCCCACCCCCATCACGGCCCGCTGACAGTGCCGATGGCTACCCCTGTCATCTGCCCGTGTCACGCTGTTGCGGCCCCTGCCTACTGCTGCTACGTGACTGGCACCAGCCCATGCGTGCGGACGTCTACATGTCATCAGCCACTCCTGGCTGACCACTCACTTACCAGCAATCTGCACATTTAAAGTCGAGTCAGTGTGTGAGCTTTTGGCTTCTCTCTTCATACTGAACAGAAGCGATTTCAAGCTGCTGTTCTCCTCCAGGGACTTGTCTAAGCGTTCTCTCAAGGCATCCTGGCGGCACAAAAACACACTCATCACAGACAAAGTCCAAGCTTCTGATGATCATCAGCGTCAGCATGTGAAAGGATGGGGGGGCGCAGCATGTGAAAGGATGGGGGGGGAGGGTACCCGCCCTGAGCTGAGTGTCCTTCAGGGGAGGACGTGCAGTGACCCGGAGGGAGAGTGTGCGCACCCCATTTGACCCCTGAGGCCCCTGCAGATAGCCCAGTGCACGGCAGCTGCTCCCGAGGAGGCCATAAGGGCTTCTCTCCTTACATCTCAGTCAGTGTCTGACTCCCTGCCCCCTGGGCAGGCCTCTGGCTACCCCTACCGGTAAAGCATCTAGAGTGGTCCCGGGAAGGAGAGAAAGCTAGCAGGCTGGTGATGATGCAGCTCAGGCCTCGGGGACAAGAAGGAAATGTCACGCACACAGGTGGTGGGGTAACGCACAGAGCCCACCTTCCCTCAGAGCCGAGGTTTCCCTGAACCCTGACGTAGACCGAAGACCGTCCCACAGGTCCTGGTGGCTTCCGAGCTGGCAGTACAGTCTGCGGCTGGAGCTGGGGTCCCTGAGGCTCCGGGCCAGCCTGGCCACCTGCTGCTCCCATGGACACTGATGGTCTCGGTGTCCTTGTTGTGACCTCTCCCCACCACGACAGAGCTTCTGGGTGTCCCTGCTGCTGACACAGAATCCCTCTGGCTCTGGCTTCCTCCTCAGCGGACCTCTGCTGGAGTTTAACCACTTTTTCTCCCCGTTGTCTAGTCTCTGGCAAGAGAGCAGCAGGGGACTCCCTCCTCCCACGGACGTCTAGGCCCTAGGATCAGACCTGTCCAGAGCAGAGGTCAGGGCTGGGGCCACCGCCCCAGTGTCTCAGGTTTGAGGTTCATGGGAACCATGATGACCGGCTTCCAAGTGACCACAGTGTTGGTCCATGAGAGTCACAGCTCTGCCTTCAGGCCGGGGTGACCATAGGGTGTAGTGAGGACCGTCATGAAGGGGAAGGAGTAGCTTCCAGTAGGGGGGCCCCAGCCACCTGCCCCTGCAGGCCAGGTGAGTAAGGGGGAGGGGCACCACCCACGAGTCCACCACCGGCCACCAGCTAACATGTGACATCACATGGAGACACTGAGAGTTCGCTTCAGCGGAGGCACATGGGACTCCTGGCTGGAGGCGGGAAGACGTGAACACTGTTGTCTTCAGTCAGCCTGAAGCCATTGGGGCATCTGCTGTGTAGCTGCAACTAGCCAACCCAGGGCAAACAGCCTACGTGGGGACGTCCCCACAGACCAGCAGGTGACCCCAGCTAGCAGACTGCAGGAGGAAGGTAGGTCGGCAGCAGGAGCCACTCTGCTGCCACCTGGTGGCAGAAGTTCCCTCAGGCCCACAAATGTTAGGAGGGTGGTGGTGATGTGCCGTGGAGTCAGTTCCAACTCAAAGCGACCCTGCACAGGCTTTCCGAGGCTCTAAATCTTTACGGGAGCAGAAAGCCTCATCTTTCTCCTGTGGAATGGCTGGTAGTTTTGAACTGCTGGTCTTACAGTTAGTAGTCCATTTTGTAACCACTACGCTACTACAGCTCCTTATACAGCATGGGTGTTGTTGTTGTTGTGAAGTGCTGTTGAGTTGACTTCACCCCATAGCAACCCTGTATAGGATTTTCGAGGAGCAGCTGGTGAGCTTGAACCACTGACTTTGCAGTTCAAACAACTTTGTAGTCTGATGCATTAGCCCACAGAACCACCCCAGGACTCCATACAGCAGAAGTAGGCAACCTTTTTTCTGCCAAAATTTATTATATCATGTATTGTTGTTGTTGTTGTATGGGCCATACAAAATTATCAGCTTAAAAATTAGCCTGCTATTTCTGGAGTTAGAAACCTAAAGGAAAGAGCATGCTCAGCATTTCTCAAGCTGAAAGAACTGAGGAAAAATTCCAGCCTCAGCTTGAAATACTGAAGGATTCTATGGGTACAAAAAAGAGCTCTGGCAGCGTTTTGTTGTTGTTGTTAAGTGCCACAGAGTAGTGGTTACGAATTGGGCTGAGCTGTTCCGCGGGAGAAAGATGAGGCTTTTTGCTCCCATAAAGATTCATAGCCTTGGAAACATAACAACAACATAGGTAAAATATTGAATGATGCAGAAAGCATCAACCGAAAATGGAAGGAATACACAGAGACACTGTACCAAAAAGAAATGATGGAAATTCAACCATTTCAAGAGGAGATCAAGAACCAAAGATACTGAAGGAAGAAGTTCAAGCGCATTGAAGGCATTGACAAATCACAAGCCTCCGGGAATTAATGGAATAGTTGAAATCTTTCAACAAACTGATGAAGCACAGGAGGCACTCACTCATCTATACCAAGAAATTTGGAAGACAGCTACCTGGCCAACTGATCGGAAGAGATCTGTATTTATGACCATTCCAAAGAGAGGTGACCCAAGGGAATACAGAAATCATCAGACGAAAACATTAATATAGAATGCAAGTAAAATATTTCTAGAGATAATACAAAAAAGGCTGCAATCATACATGGACAAAGAGCTTCCAGAGGTTCAAGCTGGATTCAGAAGAGGATATGGAATGAAGAGCATCATTGGTGACATAAGATGGATCTTGGCTGAAAGCAGAGACAAGAGAAAGATGTTTACCTGTGCTTTATTGACTACCCAAAGGCTTTTCATTGTGTGGATCATGACAAACTATGGACAACACTGAGAAGTATGAGTATTCCAGAACACTTCATTGTGATCATAACGAACATATACATGGACCAAGAAGAGGCAGTTGTTCAAACAGAACATGGGAACACTGAATAGTTTAAAATTAAGCATTTAAAAAAAAACAAAAACAACGACAGGGTTGTATTCTTTCACCATACTTATTCCACCTGTATGCTGAGCACATAATCAGAGAAGCTGAATTATATGAAGAAAAACGTGGCATCAGGATTGGAGGAAGACTCATTAACAACCTGCCATATGCAGATGATACAACCTTGCTTGCTGAAAGTAAAGAGGACTTAAAACATTTACTGATGAAGATCAAAGAGCACAGCCTTTAGTATGGATTACATCTCAATGTCAAGAAAACAAAAATCCTCACCACTGGACAAATAAACAACATTCTTATCAATGA